AACATTCATCAGGAATCCTTCGCTAGTCTGGCTCAACAGGAAGGGGTCAGGGGAGGGAATGGGGAAAGTGGTTTCAGGAAGCAATGGGACACAAAACAAGGCTTCTACCCATATAGAAAATTATAAAATGATCTACCATGATTGACCATATTATGATACCTTGACAATCAAAGAACATGCAGGAGGTCTTCCTTTAATTGTCTTCTTTTTTGATAGGTCTTTATTTGCAAAGATGATCCCTCAAGTGTTTTGATGTCAAAACTAGTAAGGGACAGAATCAGAAACTTTGTATCCTATTAATTCAACAACTGATTCTTTATAGTCCTTATTGGACACCACTTTCCTTCTTCTGAACTAAAAGTTCCCTGCAGACATTCAAGGGCACCCTGGTGAGAAAGCTATGGATGACACAGTCAGGTTCAGCAATCTGTTCAAGTCCAACTGTCCCAGCAAGTCTGCAGTGGAAATGCCCCCGCTCTAGGAAATGGCTGGGTATTGTTCATTCATGCCTGTTTTGGCTTTGATTGCAAGAGAGACTGAACATCTGGCCTTTTTCTTTCTACTTTGGAATATGGAATGGCCAGGAGTTTGATAGAGATATCAGTCAAGGGATTCTGCTATTTGGTGTTTGGGTAGAGGGTGTGAGAGTATGTGTGCCCATGTGCACACACATGTGAGCTGAGGAAATAAAATATGGAAAGTGTCAAATACACCCAGATGTGAAATATAGTGGGAGAGACAAGAAGTTTTTTTTTTTTTTTTTTTTGCTTGACAAAAGATTCAAGGGGGAAATTGGCTTCAAGAGGAAGAAAAGACAAAAAGATTCAGAGGCATGAAGCACTGAGAGCTTCGTGGTTCAGGCCGTATTTCAAAGCAGCTCTTCAGATTAGTCAGGCAGACCTCTCTCTGTGTATGTGTGTGTGTGTGTGTGTGTGTGGAAAACGGGAAGGGAGGGAGTTGCTTGACAGATGTTTGGCATGTCAACTCTCCCTAGAAAGCCTTACAAAGCAATTTCTTGAAGGCTGCCATCTACAAATTGTTGCTGAGGTCCAGTAAAGGTAGGCTATGGCCCAGCACAATTCACCTCCAACACACTTCCTGATTGAAGTATGAGGGAAAGCACATTATCATAGCCAAGAGGAAGAGGCCAGAAAAGCACATACTTCACATCTTGTGAGTTTTCTTTCTTACTACACAGAGCATATTCACTGAGGCATCCAGTATCCCAGGTTTGTGGGTACTGGGGGAAAAAAAAACATACTTGGTTACCTTGATTTTAGAAGGAAGCCCAAATTATGTAAACTACTCCCACCCTTCTTTACATTTTTGCTATTGTATGATCAAAAGGACTTTCCAGATAGTACTGAGAGAGAATCCTATGTTTCCAAAGAGCTCAGCATTATTGTTGCTAAAACTAAATTTAAAAAAACTAAATTTAAAAACTAAATTAATTTTTAAATTGAAGAGAGTGTACAAGCCTCTTATCAAGCCTCTTGTAAAGGTGCCTGGAATAAAATGTTTCTCATTTTTCTGAAAACGTGCCCAAACATCAAACAAATGGCATATCCTCTAAACCCTCTTCTAACCTTTGAGCTGCTGCTTTTGCCCTACCCAGATCCTCTCCTCTTCCAGATGGCATGTTGTCTTCTTATCATTTGGTCAGTCGAATAATTTTTTTTGCCAAATCTTACAGCCTGACCCTTTTGTGTCCTAAATGATAGTTTTGCCCTATCCTTCAATCAGGAAGTGTGTGGAGGTAAATTGGCCATGGCCTACCTTTACTGCACCTCAGCAACAACCTGTAGATGGCAGCCTTCAGAAAGTTGCTTTTCTGAAGGCTTTTTAGGGCAGTTTCTATCCTCGTCCTCTTTTTCCTCCTCCTCCACAACAACATCATCATCATCTTCATCATCATCAACAACAACAACAGTATTAAATTGAACAACTTCTTTCAGAAGAAAGAAAAAAAATACTGTACTGCATGGGAAGTATTGTATTTCCTTTTGCAATAAAACTGTACACGTTCCTGTTTGACAGTAAAGAAGATAATTTCTCATTTAAATACTAGTCCCTTAAGAGAAAACCCAATAGCTCTACTGTGTTGATAGAGCTAGGTTTTATATCTATGTCTATTCAATGACTATATTTAGAAAGTCTATGTTCATAAATCGCACAACTGGAAATGATCACCTTTCAGTACCTCATTAATTATATGGACTAAAGCTCCAACAATGCTCAGAAACTGTCCACAGGAAACAGCTCTGCTTTCCACCCCCACAGATCCATCCACAGAACATTTCCTTGTCAAAGGTTTGTGTGGGCAGCTGCTGCTGTTGGATTAATTTGATTTTCAAGTCTTTCATAAAAGCCGTCAGTCAAGGACAAAAAACAAACAAACAAAGGGCAAAACATCTTCAGCCATTCCTTGCATTAACACCACTCCCCCCAAAACCTAAATGATAAGCAGTTATTAGTAATTCACAAGGACAAAAGATAAAGTGTAGAAAACGTACAGCACTGATTCTGTGCACTGAAAACCTTATAGCCCAGCAAAGAGATCAGTTTAATATTGAAGGCTCTTGGTTGAGATGAGCTGTTATTGTTTCTGCTTTCGAGATAAGAACTGAAATTTCAAGGAAAGCATTACAATATTGCTGTTGCTGTTGTTTTGCCTGGAGAAGGCTCTCTAGCCTGCATTTTAACTAACAGTTCTAAGATAGCTCAATCTTCAAATAATGTAGGTTGGAAAAAATGTTGGAAGAAAGCAATTTTCATGATATGCAATGGAAACCCATAGGCTCTAATTCCTTTTCATCTTAAAAACATTTGTAGGGTGCCTCATATCTTTTTGTCAGTCCTGCCTCAACTTGAACCTTTAAGCAAGAATGATCCTTGACTCCATTTGTTGACAAAGGTATAGTTTACTAAAGGTCAAGTGGATTACAATAAAGCAAAGCCAGAACTGAAGTTAGCACGCCAAATCCTTAGATCTAATCCCCCCCCCTTCTTTAAGGCACATCCTATTGCTGGTCCCCCTCCATTGTCCAATCAATTTCAAAGAAACCATCACTCTGAGTGTAGGCTGTCTTGCGGCTGCATTCTTCTCCCAAGGAAGTGACCTTGAAGCACTGTCCCTGAGAGACACGTTTATGTCTATTACTTTCACTTTCCTTCAAGCATTCTTTCTCCATTTTATCCTCCCCCCCAGGGATCATGGCAGACTGGTGCTGAACAATAGGAGAGTTTCCTAACTCTCTTGCCAATCATAAGAAAGTTCTTTGCCCTCCACTTTCAGATCAGTCATTTTCCCTTTACCTGCTTTTTTCTGACTACAACCTCATCTACTCTTTGCTTGTGTATATACAGAGCCTTGATGCACATAGCTTTTCTCCATTGTGGTCAGTGTCCCTCTCTGACTCTGTCTTTCTACCTGTCTCTCTCTGTCACACACACACACACACACACACACACACACACACACACACACACACAGAAGGAGGGAGGGAGGGGAAGAGAGAAGGAGGGGGGAGGGAGAGAGAGAAGCTTGAGAAATATTTTTCCTAAAGTCCCCAATGTAAGATTTATTAACAGTCTTTCTTGTTGTAATAATAGCAGTCCATAAGCTCTCTTTTTGGCAAATACGTCTATCACCTAGATGCAAGTCTCATTTATCCATATCAACATTTGCTATATTTCTGTCTCTTACATAATCATTCTTTGTTAAAAAAAATCTTCTTGGTATCCCTGGCCATGACATTTATCAGTAATTCTAAAAGGGGAAATCGATTCAGATGGATCTGGTTTCTTTCTTGAAAGATTTTCTCTCTCTCTCTCTTCAAAATGGTGCATTAGCATTAGTATGATAGGGGAACAGATAACTTCCAAACATCTCTTTCATGGGAGGAGCTTAAAACTTTCAAAGTCAATTTTTAAAGCTGAAAATTGTGGAGAGGAGCAGCCTAGAAATTAGGATGGGGAAGAGACCTATGCCTTTGGAATTCTAAATGATGGAGTGCCTTTACTTAGCATGTTTAATCCTTGAAAATGTGAGTTTCCAAAATTTAAAATCATGCCACCAGTTCCTCATCATTGTAGAAAATTATAGGACCAATCAATCACCACTTAGAGTCTGAATCAACAGGAGCCGTCCAAATCTCTTATATCCTTCCTTCCTTCCTTCCTTCCTTCCTTCCTTCCTTCCTTCCTTCCCTCCTTCCCTCTTCTTTCCTTTTCTTTTCTTTTCTTTCCCTCTCCCTCTCCCTCTCCCTCTTCCTTCCACTTTATGTCCCCCTTTCTCCTCATTTCTTTCATGTATCATCTCTCCTTAGTTCTCCCTACAATCATGCTTAGACAAAGGATTCCAATTTCTTTGGGAACACCCATAGGTGTAAATACATCTTCCTCTGCATGAGTTAAGCAACTGAAAGTCTTCTTCTTAAACAAAAACTCTGGGACAATCTAGATGGTCCCCCCCCACCCCTTCTGTGATGAAAGGATTTTCTTTTACATTAAAGAACTTTGAAATTTACTCCAGATTATATATTTTTGTGAAAATAACTGGAACAGTGAAGAAAAATACATATCGGTCTTTAGCATTGCTGGAATCAAGTTACCCAACATAAATAAAAGAAGAGTAAATTAATTTCAGGTTGCACGAGACAGCAGAAGTGGGTGAAAAGCGGGTGGTGGAACTTTGGGATTGGTCATTTCAAAATCTCTAAGGGATGAAACTGATATAGGAAATTTGCACTGTGGGAAAATAAAAAGAAAATGATGGAGAATCACTCATGCCAGCAAATCACCAGCAGTGTGCACACTTTAATCCATTAATGGGAGATATATCTGTGATCATAAAAGCAGGTTAGAGTCAGCCTGAAAGCTTATAGGTGGGCGGGGGAGAGCGAATGAGAGCAAGGGAGGGAGAGAGAGAGAGAGAGAGAGAAAGAGAGAGACGGATGCAGGGAGTAAAAGAAAATAAATATACTGGCTGAACTGCTGAGAAGCATTAGGACCAATAATGAGAGATCTCAGAGGACCTGCCGCTCAGAGTATTCTGCTTTCTTTAGAAGAGTTGTGCCTTGATTCTGGATGATCCACATGGTTCGTTTTTTTAAAAAAAATCACCCCCTTTGTAGTTTAATGGGCATTCCCATTGCTTTTTGTGCCTCTCTCTAAAAAGCATTGACGTGGAAAGAAGCAGCAGCAGGGGGTGGAGGGACTGCAGCTCTTCTAAAAATACGGAGGGCATGCAGGAGTGCGAGCAGGCTGGGGAGGAGGAGGAGGGTGTGAGAGTGCCTCACACCATGTTTTCTGGATGCCAGCTGGGTGCAGTTTTGGAAATGTTCCTCCTGTGAATGGAGGCACCATGAACATTTGGGAAGTGATCCTGGCTTTCTTAATTGTGGTGCTCATCCTTGTATCGTTGCTGTCCAATGTGTTGGTGCTGATCTGCTTTCTGTATAGTGCAGATATCCGCAAGCAAGTCCCGGGATTGTTTATCCTCAACCTGACCTTCTGCAACTTGTTGATGACTGCTTTGAACATGCCTCTCACTCTGGCTGGGATCATTTACAAGAAACCACCTGGAGGAGAACAGCTTTGCCACATAGTGGGGTTTTTAGAGACTTTCTTGACTACCAATTCCATGCTGAGCATGGCAGCTCTCAGCATTGACCGGTGGATAGCAGTGGTATTTCCTCTAAACTACCATTCCAAGATGCGTTACAAAGATGCTGCCCTCATCCTGAGCTACACGTGGTTACACTCAGTATCTTTCCCAATTGTGGCAACTTCTCTTTCTTGGGTAGGATTCCACCACCTTTATGCCTCTTGCACCCTGTACAACAAGAGACTGGAGGACAGGACCCAGTTTATGATTTTCACAGGAATCTTTCATTCCTTTAGCTTTCTCCTTTCTCTCGTAGTCTTGTGTTTCACATATCTGAAAGTGCTGAAGGTGGCACGCTTTCACTGTAAAAGGATTGACGTGATTACTATGCAGACCCTTGTGCTCCTTGTGGACATCCATCCCAGGTAAGGAGATGCCTTCATCTTTTTCTAACAAGATCGCACACTGCTAAGGATTCTTATTAGACAAAACTATCATCTGTCTATATTTTAAAATGTAGCTCTTCCTTGCTTTTCTTCTGCATGTTTCTATTCCCAAAAATCTATAAAATTTATTGCTAATAATATTTTGAAAATGTGTTGGGGGCATGTGGCAGGCAAAGAAAAGTAATCTAGGAATGTATTTTGAAGGCTGTACTGGAATCTAAAAGTTTACACATGGACACATTTCCTTTAGGGTAGTGCGTTTTGACAATTTTGCTAGTGAGTGAATAGATCCATGTCTGTTCATTAATGTTGATCAGAGTTATTCATACATGCTGTATGAATAAAATTAAATTAAAATTTCTGATATCCCTTAGGATATATCAGTGGGAAAATAGCATACTAATGCCATTCTGGTTTTTTGTGCATTTTGGAATGTCACTGTAAAGTCAGTAACTTTCCTTGAAGGAAGGATGCCCAGAGAAATATTTATCCAAAAATAAACACAAGCAACGAACTAGTACAAATACATCAAAAATAGCATTAAGATTCAAATTCATACTGACAAGGAAAGAAAGTTGAGTTAAGTGTACTCAAGAGTCCTTAAATCAACCCATATTTTCTATGCATAGTAAGATGAATCTCAAGATAGAGGTGAAAGAAGGATCGCTATGATAAGAAAACATAAATAGTGGGAAGATAGAAACAGGAGGATTGAGAATGAGGAAATATAATTAGAAGATCTATAGAATAGAAAGGAGAAGTGAGAGGATTCAATGGGAAAACTGATCTAACTATCTTAGCTAGACTAGGTTTTGTTCAAAGGAGATGAAGAAACGTTTCAAGGGACAAAGTCACAGAGCAATCTGTTTCATTTACTGAGACTTCAAAGTATTTGTGTATTATGTGTAGATGTGTGTGGGGGGATGGGATCATCAGAAAACAAGAAACATTGTGATGGATAATATAAATATTGACTGTAAAGATGTCACTGGAAGAAATAAATAAAGGTGAATATAATGTCCCAATTTGGACTTATCATACATGAATAAATGATGTAGTTTGTCATCTCTAACAAGAAAAAAAAATAAGTTAGGATTATTGAAACTATATTGATATTAATAATATGGGACACAAAGAAAAGATAGATAATTATGCAAAGAAAAAGAATCATGATTAATACACATTTTTACAATGCGTCTCTTCTTTTAGGGTAATGGTAAGCAGATTTTGAATTCTGAGACCATGCTGTGGGTGTTCTCACAAAATGGCTCCTTGGGTACTTTTCTACTCACAAAATGGTTGTCATCGGGGGCGTTTGTATATTTCACTCTTAGTTTTAATAGTACTAATTTTTAACTCCAAACTTTATATGATTATATTATGTTTGTTGTAAGACATTGTCTTATTGTATTGTTTTACACTACCCTGAGTCACCTTTGGTGAAATGGGCAGCCATATAGATCTAATAAATAAAATAATACAAATAAATAACCAATCAAAAAACACTAATTTATTAGAATAGCAATCATCCTAATCCCCTTTCTTACAATGTTCCTAAAGGCCTTGGCCTTTTGTTGGGCATCTGGCAATACTTAGAGCGTTAGAGTCACAGTTGCTATTCTTTCTTATTGTCTAAAATAAAATCGATATGATCCATAGGTAAAGAAAACTATGCTGAAGTTCTTTACTTTATTATTAGTCCAGAATCCCATTTTTTAAAATTAAAGTTACTAAAAAAAATTAAAAAATGATGCATGGAACTAGAAACTTCGAAGACTGTCAATGTAAGTCCTCCTTATAGGGGAGATGTGTGGTTAATTAATTAATTAATTAATTAATTAATTAAGTAAGTAAAGTATCTCTTCCCATCCCCCCCAAAAACCCCAGCAGATAGGCTAGCATAAGACAGGAAATAAGGATGTGAGATTAATATGGGAATTGGTGAGAAATGAGGTTCAGACTAATGTCCCTGACCCATTGCTTGACATCTTAAAACCACTTAAGATCAAGGTACACAAGCTACTAGAAAGTTGTGGTTAGATGTCCCAATATACACTTTTATATTTAAAAATAACACAGGACTGTAATTTAGACAGCCCTGTTATTATTTTTGCAGACAGTTGCAGCATTCATGGAAGTGAACCCATTCCAATGGCAGCACTCTATAAATCACTATAATTCAGTATCAACTGCAGTGCAATTTAAATTAGAAAAATAGCCTAGTTGGAACACATTTAAATTTCTTTCTTTCAATATTGCTTCCAATCTAACCTAGATTCCTGAGACAACTTTAAGAAGTCTCATGTATCACAACAAGTTCAAAGTTGAACCATTTTAAGGTAAATTATTTTGAATGTGTTTTCAGAATAAAATGGAATCTCCAGTAAAATGGAATGAAGATTATGTGAATTGGAAACAAGGAATCTATTTTGTAGAAGAATTCTAATACAATGTGAATAGACATAATAGACATAATAGACATTTTAGACATAATAGACATTTGAAACGCAAATAATGCTAAAAATTTCATTCGGTTACAAAAGATTGCATAAAAGGAACATGTGTTTCTATGAGGTCAAAGTATTATGGGACATACTCTTTAACAGATGCAGAGTCTCATAATCAGCTACCATTAATTTGAAAGTGGGGGTATTTCTTTCATTTCCAAAGTGATAATGTGGTTTTGGACAATTATAAAGTGGAATATTATGAATCCAGTACAAAACAAGATTTGAAACCAATTACATAAACGCCAAAGGTCCCTTTTATTATTATAGTTAGAATGAAAAAAAATACTGGGTCAGAATATGAGAATATCATATTGGCTTCATTCATAAATAACAAATATGTACATAAATCTTTGATTCATACATATTTTTCTATTTCTTCCTGACATGCTGCTGAAAGTTGCATCCAAATACTAAATATAGGTAATCCTCAATTTACAACCACAACTGAGCCCAACATTTATGTGAGACATTTGTGAATTTTGTCCCAATTTATGATCTTTCTTGCCACAGTTGTTAAGTGAATCACTGCAGAATCTGGCTTTCCCCTTGACTTTGCTTGTGAGAAGGTCAGAAAAGAGGATCACATGACCTCAGGGCACTGCAACGGTCATAAATATGAGTCAGTTGTCAAGCATCTGAATTTTGATCACCTGACTAGGGGAATACTGCAATGGTCATAAATGCAAAAAAAAGGTCGTAAATCACTTTTTTCAGTGCCGTTGTAACTTCAGTCACAAAACAAACTGTTGTAAGTCGAGGACACCCTGTAATACCCTGTTTCCCCCCAAATAAGACATCCCCTGATAATAAGCCCAATCGGGCTTTTGAGCGCATGGCAATAAGGCCAAGCACTTATTTCAGGGTTGTAAAAAATAGAAGACAGGGTCTTATTTTCGGGAAAACACTGTAGTTGATCACAACAGAATTGAAGCAAACCAGTTCAAAAGCAATAGCTTGGATTTGGTTTGTTTTAATTGATCATAGGCAATGTAAGTGTGATGTTATATTTCAGTGGGCTTAAACTATAATGAAACAGAAATCTTTGAAACTTCTTCTAATATTGCTAAGAGGATGACAGGATAAGTGAGAAACCCTTGACTATGAAGATCATCACCCAGATTTAATCCCTTAGTAGGATTTATTTTCACAGACATAATGAGCACATACATGGACCTCAGCATTAAACACCAGCTGGAGTTCTCGTATTCATTAAGTGATACAATTACTTAGGAGTAACAACTAAGAATGATATGGTTTTATGTCTTCCTTTTCTTTCCAGGAATTTTTCTTTTTCAGTTGAAATCTGATATTGAAGTTCATTTTATATTCATCTTAATGTATCAAATCAGATTGAAAACCAGATTTCTTTTGTTTTAAAATAATTTCTTATTAATAATGATGCATGTCATTCTTCAGTGATAAAAATCAATGCAAACTAAAAAATACAAACAAGGGAATTTTAAAAAGAAAGAAAAAAGAGAGGTAAAAAAGGGAAAGAAAGAAAAAAAAATGGAAAGACAGTGTAGTAATTTTCTCCTTCACCCCAGCTGGAAAAGCAATATAGCTTATAAACATCTCTAAATAAAAATTAATATCTCTTCTCCCCATAGCATATTTCTTAGGTAAGGAAAACAAAATCAAAATAGTATATCAATCAATGTTTATAGCAAAAGTCCATTAAGGGTAACCATGCACAATTATTTTCTTCACAATCTCTCTTGTCCCCATAACTCAACTCTTAGACAAGAAAAACAAAGTCCAAATACTCCATCAATCAATCCTTGTCAGCAAAAGGAAACCAGATTTTCCCATTAAATTAATTTTTTTTCTTTCTTAAAGAAGATTTGCCTGTTAATTAAGATGATAGAGAGTTTAGTATGCAATATGTAATATTTGATTATTTGAAAACATGTCTGGGTTGTTTGTGATTAATCAGCATTTAAATATAAGTGAATCATTCAGAGGAAAAGGAACCACAGTCTAGAAAATATATATACTTAAATGTCAGCGTCAATCAATTGATCTCAAAGTTATATACTATAACTAAGATGATTTCCAGGAACCACAGCTAATTCCAGTGACTATTATCAATTGCATTCCTTCGCATTTCTTTTTTCCTTCATACTTTACAATTCATGAGATAAAGCTTCCTCCTGAATGTGATGCTTATTACAGAAATATGGATTATTTGGGCATTTGAAGGAATAGTGCTGAGTAACCAAATCAACACTTCTGGATTTGCTATATAGCACATTATAAAGTCACCTACAGGTCTTCTATTATTGACTAAAAGAGGTCAGAATGGCAGTTGTACTATTTTAAGTAGAAAGGGAGAATCTCTGGTGTTTCACACTTGAATAATCAAAGAAGATCTGCCCCTAGTTGTAAAAAAAAGTGAAATGCCCATGTATCTTTTGAAGATGCTTTAAAACTTCTAATTGGTTAATTTTTGTTGAAGGGCTTACATAG